AAAGTTGTTGTTAAGTGAATCAAAAACAAAGCAAAAATTTCAACATATTTGGCTATCTTAGAGATAATTAACAAAAATTTTGTTTTACTGACTATGTTGGATGATCAAGTGCTGTATACCGATTGTTAGCTTTAAATCAAAGATGTCGTTGATCTGGTTTAGTGGTTTATACGCCGGCTATTTTTTAGTATTTATTGTTTAGGTTGTTGATTAAAAAACTTATTAAAATTGAACTGAAACGGAGTAATACTAATAATTATAGACAGAAAGTTGCAGAAATATGTCGAACAATTACAGCCAAATCAATTTGGGCTGTTTTACTTGTGGTATTACTGAAGAAAGTTCATAGTGTTGACACTGAGGTCTTATTTAATTTTGCGTTCAACAGTTACAACTATAAAAGTTTTTTTTTTTTATTTTAAAATCAACACATCTTTAAAAGTTATCAGTAATTTGCAGAAAAAACAATTTTTTCTCAGCTAAATTTTATGCAGAGTATAAAATTCCAAACAGATTGTAGTACAGTAAAATTTTGGTAAGCAAATAATTCAGGTGGATACAGAAGACGATGAATCAATTTGTCAACAAACTATTGGTGTTCTTAATCAAAGTTAGTCAAATTTAATTTCCAGTTTTTTTTTCTGGTCAATTCAGTAAATTTTATCAGATTTTGAAATTTGGTGTTCTGTTAACACTATGGTATATAACAGTATTGCTGTTTATACAACTGTTCATACATTTTAATAAAAAATAAAAGTTAAAAATAATGATAATAACGATAATAATAAAGTAAATGCTTATTTACAGAATTGATATATATTGTCAGCATATTTGGTATTACAGCGTTGTTTGGAATAATTGTTATTTCAATGACGATGGTACTTTCTCGTCGTCAACTTTGTCCCAATTGTAAAGCAGCAGCAGTAAGAGAAGAAGCACTCAGAAATAATGTCTGATGCTCACCTTTTTTTAACATTAATTATAATTGCCAATTTTTTCTCTAAGTTTAGTATATCAGTTACTAAATCTCATAACTATTGTACTGCTGTGCTTACTTAACTAACAATAATTTACTTTTAAGACAATTAATTTTGTGCAGTATTCATACGGGGCAATCGTTTATAACAATTAAAATTTATTAACACTACTCAAATAAGATAAATTTTTATGTAAACAAATAAGGTTGACCGCTGATGAACAAAATTTTGTCGACCAAAACTTCTTAAGCCCTATTTGGGATCAAGTGTTGAAATCCAAAACATAGTTTGGTTGTTATTTAAATGCTTTACTGCAATTGTATAATAAATTTGAATTTCCAATTTGTTGCTAAGTAAGAGCAGCAGTTTTACTGACAGTATTTTTTACCTAATATAATAATGTAAGAGCAAAAATAACAAAAAATCTTAAAAGATTTTTTATGCCAGTAAAATTTACTGTGTATTACTGTCACTAATAATATGTTTTTTCCAACTGTCGCAACGTTGGTTTATT